ACCATTTTAATTATACCAACTATGATTAATGCTTTTCAGTCCTGCCGAAGGTTATACACAGAAAAATCGTGAAAAATTTCGAAGTAATTCTTTCTGGGTTCACAAGAATGCTGGGTTTTGAACAAAGCCTTCGCCTCAGACGGGACTCGAACCAGCACATTTCATTTCGGATTATTTCTTGGAATTTCTGGAAAATTTGGAACTTTACTAAACATTTTGAAAATCTTTTGAAATAAAAGCTTTGGTGCCTTTTCAAGTCTTGCAACATTTAGGCCCTGATGAGGCTCCGGGACAGCACAATACTATGAGTTTATTTCAAAACAATCTTTCAAAGAACGCTCATGCATTTTGTAAATTTTGTTATTATTTCAAAGACACAAAAATTGAGAGTTGCTGAAAAGATCGCGACTTAAACAACTCTATTTTTCCATTTTTTTTTCATTTTTTCGGATTCCTCAGCACAAGTTCATGTCAAGCTCGAGGGTCAAAGCGTCATATAACCATATTTGAGAGTTACCAGCCCAGTGTCTGCGTCTCGTTTGTCCAATATGCTCTCTCGTTCCAGAGTCTCTCATCTCATCTTCTACCTACCATCTACTTCATATGGCATCTTCGGCTACCACTCATGTTGCCGAAGATGCCATATGAAGTATGCGGTAGGTAGAAGCTTTAAGTGGACGAGTTTTTGTAGTGGACCTAAGGTGGTAGGCAGATTGAAACATGCCCGGTGCAAATTGGAAATGAAGAACTATGTGATCACATCTAATAAGTCCACCACAGCCGCTTATCCCTGTGAAAAGTCCATCGTAAAGTGGGAGGGCCTTATTTCCAGCCATTCTGGGCAGCTTTTTCTTCTCTGGAAGTGAATCACATCGCACATCTACTTTCACTTTCGAGCGCCTACAGGCGCATGCAGCCATTGCAAATTCACTTCTGGGGTAACTTGTTTTTGGTTGATATTTTACTTTTTAGTGATTCGAGCTTATTTGCATGATGTGATTTATCCGAAAAAGCCGGTGAGACGAGCCATGCTCCGTTCATCGCTCAAAAGCGCAGGGGCGATTAGAAGTACGGGCAATGCGTCCATATTGGCGCTCACTATTGAGGGTGCCGCCAAATGTCGGATCGGGACACACGAGAGAGCGGCGGAAGAACCCGGTGACGGTTCATATAACCGTCCTATACGAAGTACGTTTCTAGACGGCCCTGAATATGGATCGATATCGTGATCCACGTTGATCATGTACGGCGCACACCGCAGAGCCTCGTGCCCCTGCGCCACAGGCAATCCTTCAGATCCTGCGAGATCATGTCAACGAACTCACCAAATAATCCATTGAACCCGTGGTAGCGCTTGCAAGACTAGCCTAGCCCACATATTTTTTGCCTTCCGCTCGGCGCGAGATCGACGCGTAATTTAGCGCAAATTTCTTGAAACTAGCCAACACGCGGACAACGGGGTGGACAACGGGGGACAAATAGTAGCGACTTTTGTGATTCTCAGTTCTGTCGAGTTGCTGTTGAGAAGTCACCCCAGCGTGCTTGCTTGAAAAAACTGGCCTCGCCAGGTAGAATGAAAAACCTTGCTAATTGTAAAGCGATTGCAGAGCCAATCTTTTGGTGGCTTTTATGCTGGCTCAGGCTCAAAACCATTTGCCCGTCACAGCATTTCCGTTCGTTTGAAATTTTCTGTCATTTGCGGCTTAACAATACAGAAGTGCCATGCTCAGATGTGGACGTATTGCCTTGGCTGACTTTAAAAGCGGAATGAAAATTGGGTCGAAATCTAAGTCGCAAAGAGTCTTGGTTTCCTGGGCAATATCACTCGGGTCGACCGACGCAAGTTTTTGCAGTATCAAGATTTTCAAAAAATTGGAGAAAAACTACGGCTGTTCAGTCTTCAGTTATACTCAGCCAGCGACCATTTGACAGGGATTTCCGATGGCAAAAAGCGATTTAGCGACAAATATCGCCGTCTTGCATTGAGAGTCGTTCAGTTGACCAGATCTACTGCGATCTATCTACAATTAAAACAGTCGAATTTTCCCATGTATACGTTGGTGCACAGTATTGCTCCTTCAGAGCAGTTTGCGTCCTAGATTTCCAATGAGGCGGGCTTTAGGCTGTCAATCGAGTCAGCGATTCCAGATGAAAGTTTGGGGCATGGCGCGTCGCGAACATGGTCACAGAGAGCCTGGACAGCACACCGATAGCCTGAAGTATCTCGTTCGCTTTACAACCACAGATTCACTGGTTATGGTGAAGAGGATTAGCCGCACACAGCCGCCCTTTTGAGAAGTTCCTGCTCAATTTAAAACTCAAAGTGGGCTTCCATTCGAAGACTCAATTGCGGCTCCGATTCGGCCATGCTGCCATTTCCTTTAATTTCGCAATAAAATGAGTTCCAGTTCAAGTGCACTCAACGGAACATCCTTGATTCGAGATCTTATCCGATAAGTAGCCCTCTGAAAGCTTTTTTTCTGCCGCTCGTCCACCCTCCACGCCTCCCGCAGAGACAAAAACTGAAGAGATACGAAAGCACCGGCACTTTTTCTACGGGCTTTGAAACGCTCTGCTTTTAATCAAAAGGCTGCTCGTCCCGTTCGAAAGCGACAAAAACTCCGCCAAGAGGACGAAAATTCACGGATATCTGCCTTAGATGACCGGCCGGCGATCGAGCCAAATATGGTGTACTGTAATCTAGTTGGGTCATCTCTCCAAAACTACCAGCCGCTTAGCATAGCGTATTTTGATCGCGTTCGAGGACAACTCGAAGGTGGTGAGGTGTGGCGCGGCCAGGCGGGAGTTTCCTGACGGGGGCGGTGCCGGTCGGGAGGGTATAAAGGGAAGGTGTGGCGTCCTCGACGACAACGACAACCACCGACGACAACGAGGACGGTATCGCAACATGCTCCAGGAGAAGGTGATCGTCGGAGCGGCCTCGGCCTGCTCCATAATCGCTATCGGTGCTTGTCTTGTTGTACTGCCATCGTTGTACTACGAAATCAATGAAGTACACGACCAGGTAAGACTTATTTCGTGATTTTCGCACGAATTTGATCTTTATCCTGTCAATCTTGCATATATTTCTTCGAAATGTGGAAAATTGCGATCTTGGCAGGTCTTTAAAGTCCGCCCATACCGGTCTTCAAGTATTCTCCCCCATAGTAATCCCAGATGAGTGATCTAGAGCTTGTCACTGACACCTCTATCTCCCATATTCCTTACATTCCCATAGGGTTTTAATATCTCTCGTTCAATGGGATTATTCCTCTCATGGTCAGTAGCTCTTCGACAGTAGCGCAGCTTTCACCAGAAGGGTTAACTGCCGCTAATATTCTTTGAAAGCACAAAGCCTTTCGTCAAGAGAATCCTTTAGGATAAGCAGGTACTGCCCAACGGTATGTGCTCCTTCACCTTTTCCACTTGATTGTGATTTGTGGTTCATTTGGCATTAGCAGCTTTCCTGCATTTCGGGCTGCAGTGGATATTTTCCCAGTGCGCGCCATGCATCCGCATTTCAACTAGAAGCGTATGTAGTGTATGTGTATTTGAAACAAGTTGTATGTGTATTTGAAGCGCCCGCTCACAAGGGTGCTTCCGAGCAGTCTAACAACGTCTATTTCTTACTCAGTTGG